GAGGAATTCTGTGTGCTGTAAAGAAAGGAAGAGATTCAGAGGAACTTCGAGGAGTTTTCTTGAGGAGAAATTAGATATAAGTTTATTTATTATTGTAGTTGTACAACTTTGCTTTTATATATGAATTCTGAGTTTTGTTGTGTTTTCCCCATGAGATCTGAGTAGTTTTCTCTGTCTTTCTCCTTATCTCGAGATTTGTGAAATGGTGATTTGAATTGGTGAAGCCATGAAAATATTTAAGAAATTGTGACGATCTTTTCACTTCGATCTTAATTTACTTTCAATGTGGTCAATTGATTTGTTAAAATATGTTGAGTTTTACAACTAAAGTGAAGATTACATCCAAGATTCAGGGAGGTCAAAACCCTTGGAAGTTGGGTGCAAATAAATAGGGAAACAATATTATCGGGCGTGGAAATGAAGATTTTAGAGTGACAGACTAAAATCCCCAATTCGGTCCTATCGTTTGGGTGATGAAGTGTAGATGTTAGCCCTCAGGTGAGGGGAACGTGGGAGCTTCGAAGTGAGAGCCGGTATCCTCCCAGCCTTGTCGCAGATTCAGTAAACAAGCATAGAATTAGTCAATGTTCATTATGTCTGGACCAAAGGGTAAAGAATAGGTGTGCTCCTATTTGACACAATATAAATTGAACTAATTCACTATAATTTCTTAACAAGAAGAAGAATGTTTTCTTATATATTGAATATCACAATAAACCCTCCTTAGTATCATTAGTTATTTAATAATTATTAAAATTATCTATTTATTTCAATTGCCTATTAGTGACAGATAAGCAAATTGAACTTCGATATTGTGATTAAAGTATTGCTTTTCTAAAATCTTAGTCCGCAGTTCTAACCACTCCCTATGGAATCGATATCTAGGACTCCATTAGAGACCTATATTATTTGAGTGATACATATACTTGCGTTGATAAGTGTGACTTTACCATTATTGAATATTTATTACATCCATATTTATCTTATATTTTAAGCATATAAAAAGTCGTTGTCAGAGACCGGTACACAGACTGCAACATTTCCTTCCTCAAACTGAGATCCTCCACTAGCAGTGTCC